TATATATACATAAAGATATTTCTCTCTATGTTCTTAATACAAGTAAAATTAATTAAACATTCTCTGTCTAAACTTATTTTCTCTCTGAATAATATTTATATTCTACACGTGTTTATATATTGCAGCACATTTCTAAACTCTACGTTGCACTCATCTTTCTTCGATATATTCTAACTCTTCTGTGATTAATTTTATTTATGTTAATAACGTTAATAAGACGCATAGAAATCTCTTTTAAGAGACTGATATTTCTTCTTTCTTTTAATCTCCTCTGTCTTCACACACATTTCTTCGCTCTACTGTCACAAGATTATCTCTGATACTCATTTTTCCTTACTACTGGAGATTTGTACAGGGATTAAACCAGCACCATGTCTGACACATAATAATGTTTATCTTCTTGCAAATTTCTCTTTGATCTTATATTGTTTATCATTTGTAATGTAGAAAACTGAGAAGACAGAAAAGGTCGATGCGAAGAAGGCAAAGGCAACGAAGGTAGCGAAGGATGCAGGTTACGAGCTCCCGGAGATTCCGGATTATGAAAGGGCTGTCCTGGAGAAACCTCAAGAATTTGATTTTGGTGAATTTGTTCCTCGCGATAAAACGAAACTTGAAAGACCGGTCACACAGGTAAGGAAGTAATTAAAATCTCTGTACATAAACAATATTTTATAATCATTATGTTAGAATAATAAAAAAAATAAAAAATAATTTAAACATTTGTAAAGATACACAAAAACATATTTTGAAAAACATATTTTATGATTAGTTCATATAAAATTTGTAGAGATTTATAGAAAAGATCTAGTAATATATAAGTTCATTTAAACGTCAATTTTCTACTAATTATATGTTTTTTGTTTTCATGTTGCCGTACAGAAATTCGATTCTAAGGTAAGCAATTGTCACTTATTAATAATGAAGGTAAAATATGAATTTGCCAAATTGTCAAATTCGTACGCACGAGAAATTTTGCTAATTTTGGAAATGCCATGTTAATCGAGGATGTTTTGATCGAGCCTTGCGATATGCGGTTCAGGATAATTAATTTTTACGCCCGATTTACTGACGGTTTAATTATAGCCGAGATATAAACTCACGTCACCTGTTCTGTAAGCTTGAAGGACGGTAAATTTTTAAAGAACCGTATATATCTAAAAATAGCTCTATGCGAGATATTCCGTGCACAGAAGCAAATAATAAAGAGTTCATACAATTTTATATGTACAATATAGTTTTATTATTTTATTTATGTATATGCTTTGTTACTCCTTTTAATTTTATTAAATGTAATAATTATATCTAATGTTTTATTAAACTGTAGAATTACTCGGGATATTCAAGAATGCTCTTACTATTTTGACTGTTCAGTTTATATTAATTTTATATTTATATTTATTTAAGTGTAAAATCAAATTATTTTTTAAATAAGCAATCCGTGTAACAGTTCAAGTAATAATCCTTTAGATTAGGAATTAGAGCAATCTCTTCCAAAACTACGGCAAAATGATATTTCAACATGAGAATCGATCTTATATTTTCTTGTCGAGAACGCAGTGCCCCCGCGCCATAAATATCCTCGTGCCACCTGCACAATCACAATTAATGCGTTGCGAATGGATAGAGAAGGGGGCAGAGGAAGAAATGAAAAGGGGTGATAATCAGCCAGGTCGAATCTTGCCTTGGCAAGCGATGAATGCTTTCTGTGCATCGCGACGCTGCGTCCGCGACAGAACTATTTTAGCGAATAAATGCTCGTATATATCATCCCCTTGAAATCGGTTTCTCGTCGTCATCATCGTCGTCGTCGTGAACAAGGATGGGGAAAACGTCGATCGCTATTTTCGGCCTTATTACGACTGACCCAATAGCAACTCGGATTCGAATTGCAGGGTTAGTCGTAATCGCCCTACGTGCACGACCGTATTAAATTAACGTGTTAACACAATTCTGATACTTCGATATTTCGGCTGATAAAATCATCATTTTGAATCGCTATCAAGTAATGATTTTTTATTAATAAAAACGAATCATTAAAGTGTATTTGTGAATTAGATTGAAAGTTATCAAGGATTGGCTAACGTAATCGTGATTCTGTTTAGTTTTATCAATTCATAAATGTTTAAATCTTTAAAAAAATGTAATTTGTATTTATAATTTATATTTGTTAAATAATATATTAACATCCTCTTTTTAATCATGTGTTAAGAAAAAAAACTCCATGTACTTATCTAAAACTTATTGATAAAACATATGGAATTAAATTTTTTTTGCCAATCCAAGAGAAAAGATTAAATTATGGTTAATTGGTGTGAAGGAACATTAAATTAACTAAAAATTGAGAAAAAAATTTTAACTCTTTATTTAACCTTCTAAACAGATTTGATAGGAAGCAACGCTGTTAATCAATTAATTTTTGATCGTCGTAGCCGAAGTTACCGGAAATTAAAGCGCCCGAAACACCCAAGATTGAAGTTATCAAAGACGTGACACCGGTCGGCAGCAGGAAGAGCTCTTTAGCACCCGGAAGTGGTGCTGGCAGTCGACGTGGTTCGCTCATACCGCCCGAGGAATTAGGTCGTAGGCCCAGCTTGATCATTAGTGACGAGGTATGTTACGGAATGTATTGTGTGATTACGAAAATATATAGACTACCTTATAGGGGACCGAGCTGAAGAATGCAACAGAGGCGAGTAGAGTGAGATTCTAGAGATATTCTAATTTAATTTCTTTAAATCGATTTAAATTGAGTTTCCAAGAAAACTTAATTTAACTTTAATTCTCGAATTTATGCTTTGATCTGAACTAAAGTATCAGTAATTTAATTTTCAAGCTATTGTACAAATAGAATTTCGTGAGCTTGAAACTTTGTTGCATTCTCATGCGCTCATGAAAGATCGCCCAGTTTGCTTTGTAGAAAATTTATTTGTGTCTAAGGAAACATATCATTCACTGATCTTATTAATTTATTGGAAGAACCTTGTCAAATCGCCAAACATTGTTCCAATTAGGAACGTGGAAGTTCAAAAATAAATAACTATGACGCGATGAATCTATTTTTAATATAGAATATATTAAATCATAAATCAATATTAAAATCTCATTAAAGTTTGATGGATTTAAAACTTGATGTTTCTTCTTATATATACAATTATAATTGTATTATAAAAAAAATTACTTTTATATTTTTAGTTTTTATTATTTCTATATATCTATTCTATTATACGTCAATAAAGCAAAGAGGGTGATATGATACATTTTGCAC